GGTTAAATGAGAGGAAGGGGAGGAAGGGGAGAAAAGTGGAGGCGGGAGGGGGGGCCGGGGGGATGCTCCGTGTTCAGTACATGCTTCTGCAAAAATGTCCTTATGTAACATATACCATACACAGTGAAAGATTTTGTCATAAGAAGCAGCTTTAGACTTCAGATGGACAGAATGGTCTAACTAACCTGATACTCTCCATTAAAAACCTGCCTTCCCAATATGTCACCAGATCCTGGGCATGGCATGGTGGCAGGACACAGGTTTGCCTCGCTGCTGACAAACATGGCTGTCTGGCGTGGAGAGGACCTCACCTCAGGGACTGGATTCTGAGAGGCCTGGTAACTCCAACGTGACACTCTAAGGAATGAAAACACAAAATGCCAGGCAATCGGAAATGGGGGAGAGGGCATGCCGAGCAACCAACTTTATCTGTAATGCAGAGTGAATGGCTTCCCCGGCAGCTGGAACGATTTCAGTTTTGAGTGGCATCTGTAGGCGAGCAAGTGTCTTGGCATTTGACATAATTTTAACAACGTAAGCACTTCTGGCTTGAACTGGCTAAGCTGCTGATTTGCTCTGCAGACCTGGACTCTTCCCATCAGTCCTGACTGCCTCTGACGCTGTGTTGTTGCAATGATTATTGGATTCTGTCTTCATATTAGATTTAAGATGGTTTAAACCTAATCCTTTCCTGCTAAAAGGAGCCCTTGATTTCATGTTGGAAATTAAGGAGCAAACTGGACTCCAAAGTTATTTAAAAAAAGCCTCGTGAGGCTTTTACCATTGATTCTGCATCGGTTTCAGATAGTGTGGGGCGACTCTTGCCACTGTGCTATGAGCCTCAGCAAGCACTGGGTTTACAATGAGTGAGCAAGGGGTTCATGCTAAGGGTCTCCAGAGAGGGCTCCACAATGAGGCTGGGCGCTGAGCGGTCCCAGGAAGACAGGGACACAAAGGACAGCACCACGAGGAAAAGCAAATAGGAAAGCTAAATTCCCTGCAGGCTGCTAAATGAATTCCAGTACCATGAACCTGCCTAATTGTTCCCATTCTTCAAAACTTTGTATATGCTTCAGTCACAGAAGCCGCGATCTAAATTACCTGAATGTGTTTCTGAAAGATTAACCACAGATGCAGGAGAGATTATGGGAAGAATTCAGTGAATGCTTTGGAAGCCGATGGTGGGGAAATATGATGGTAATATCATCCCTTGTAGACAGGGAACCGGGGAGATGGTTTTTTGTTTTTGTTTTATAACACCAGAGAGAAGGGAAAAGGATCAGAAAGAAAACAGGAGAAATTAGACTATGAGGAAAGAGAAAGAGTTGGTCGGTTCTCAAAACCTTAATGTTAAAAGAACCAAGAAGGAGCTCCCATGTGGATCCAATGTTTTAGGACTTGGGATCTACAAAGGCTATGGATTGCTAAAATTATTACATTTGGGGCTGGAGAATTGTCTGAGGAGTTGCAGTGGCTGTTCTTCCAGAGAACCCTGGTTTAATTCTGGGCACCTCCATGACAGTTCATAATCATCTGTAACTTCAGTATCAGGGGATACAGCATCCTGTTCTGCTTTCTGATATGGGCTTATCCATGCAGTACACAGACAAACACCCAAGAAAATCACCCATGCACGTAAAATCATAATTTTGAAATAATTATTATATCCAATGCATCATATCAGAAATGCAACTATTTTAATTTACAAATTTGTGTTCTACCTAAAGATTCTAAAAACTTCTTGGCTGTTATTTGGCTGTCGAATAACCAACTGGCAAAAATAGGGTTTTAAATTGACTCTAGGTGAGTCACTTTGATGATTTCTCAGATGATGCTATTGATACATTCGTAAAACATGTTTTAGTTATACTGATGGCCCAAATATACAGAATATACAACACAGCTCCAAAGATGAAATGAAAGATTCATCTTTGGTTGTCTATTACCCAAGGCAGCCTACAAACACAACTTAGTACCGTGCACCTCAGAGACCTCTGCTTACTGATAGGTCAGCTTCTCTCTAGCACCCCCCACCCCAAGACAGTCTCACAACGGCTCCTGGCATGGTCTGCTTCACTTCACAACATCATCGTGAAGTTGGAAAAAGATGTGATGGCCAGTATCAGTTATCGAGTTGACTACGACCGGCTTAAAGTAAAACCAAACACCATGGGCACTTCTGTAAGGGATTTTCTTAATCAGAATATTTGAGTTGGGAAGACTTCTGCTTGTTCTCAGTCTCATTGGCAAGTCAATGTATCCCGTTGCTGAGGTGTCCCATTGTCGGTATCAGAACCAACTTCCATAGGATTCCAACCTAGGCTGGAAATTAGCAGCTCTTCAGGAACACCTCCAGGACCCCAGTGCCAGATTGGGACTGCTAAAACATCCAGCCTTTTGGGTTAACAACTACCAGGTTCTTGGGCATTCTACTATAAGATAGCTGTTGTTGGGCCAGCCAGACCACAGCCTGTGATCCAGTCTAATAAATCCTCATGTAATATATATATATATATTACACTATTATATTACAGTATTTTGTATATTTCACATCTCTCATACATATCCACAGCCATTCATTGTATCATTTCTGCTCCTTATATAATATATACTACACTATTATATTACAATATTATATATAATCTCACACCTCTCATACATATCCACAGCCATTCGTTCTATCATTTCTGTTCATTTTGAGAACCTTAGGGAACACAGTTGAGCGTAAGTGGCTTCTGCCAGCTCCAGAGTCCAGCACATGCGTGCACAACTCATGTATGCATGATGTTCAGCAGCCTTCAGCTGGAGTCTTAGACAACTGCAACTTATTTATGCCACCAAGTTTCCTGAATACAAAGAGAAGTCCTCAATGAGTGTCTCCTATTACATTCCTTTCTTTTTGTTCTGTTAACTAATTCTTTGTCTGCTGTGAAGTTCAGAAGTTCTGATAGCATTCTCAAGTATAACTGCAATGTGGGCCACATTGCCATGGGCCTGGTATAAATTTAGTTTACTCAATACCCAAACACAGATACGTATAAATGCCAGATATGACTTTGAACCACATTTGTGTGCTTTTGTGTGATTTACATGTTTTTTACATGTGAAAACTCTACCCACATGGAGTCCCTTTCTGGATTTGCCAGCTGTTAGAGGCCACATCCATGAGGAGAGAGATGCTGGCTAAGTCCTGTGTCTACCTGATGCCTGCCTGAGGCACACTGGGAGACACAAATGGTGTATTTATCCAGGTTCTTTAGAGTAATAGAACTTACAGAATGAATCTCTATATATAGAAAGAGCATTTATTAGAATGACTTACAGACTGTGACCCAGTTAACTCATAAATGACGGCTATGAACGAAAAGTCCAAGAATCTGGTAGCTGCTGAGTCTGTGGAGCTGGGTATCTCAGCGGGCCAGAAGCCTGAAGAAGTGGGCTCTAACGTCAATGAAGGAATGGACTTGCTAGTAAGGTGAGAGTCAGCAGGCAAAGAACAAAGGCTCCTTCTTCCATGTCCTCATGGCTCGGATTAGAGGTGGCTTCCCCAGCTCGAAAGATCTGGATGAAAGGTTTGCTTTCCTACCTCAAAGACCTGGGTTAGAAGGGGACCTTCCCACCTCAAATCAAACAAAGATCTCTCACAGGTGTGTTTTCTATTTTTGGGTTTTAGTTAATTCCAGATGAGGTCAAGTTGGCAAGTGAGAATGACCATCACAGAGGGCATCCTTTAAAACCTGCGAACTTAGAAGCCTAAAGGGTCTCTTTCCTTCATGGTCTAATGCTCCTACTTAAGCCAAGTCATTGCTGCACAGAGTGTCTGTCTTGCATCTTCTCTGGGAGATCTCCCTAACAGAGCTGGAGTCTCCTTTTTGCCTGTGTCATCCGTGAGTACCAGAGTCGTTGGGTGGGAGGTCCTGTACAGAAAGCCTTTTCTTTAGGCCAGCTTAGGTTACTCAGGACACTTCTGTCCCCTTAACACAATGCTGTTTTAAAATATTTCCTTTTCCCTGAGTCCCCCAAGACTTAGAATTAACTTGAATAAATTCTCCTAATCTGAGCCAGTGTTTTAGAAAGCTTTTAATACTCTAAATCACTTTGCAGATAGTAACGGCTTAATGTTCACTTGTGATGGGGAAATTTACCTCGACACACACATAGAACTCAACTGTTCCAGGAATCCTTGGGGATAGGGGCTTTCATTTGTGACACAGAAAAGTGATTTAGCAGCTCAGCAAAAAGGGTTTATTCTGAGAGGTATTTTCTAGTTGCCCCCTTTTATTTACTAATAAATACATCCTGGCACAGATATCTCTTGGGTCGGCACAGCTGTGGGAATGCATCATGGCCCATTCCATGGAAGATAGCTGGGCCCCTGAACACTGTGGCAGAGGCCAATTTTCTGGCAGCCCCCAAATAAAGCATTGAGTGCTCAAGTGACAGTGGGAACAAGACAGGAACCCCAAAGCTCAAACTGGTAGATGTCTCAAGAGCACAGCAGAGAAAGAGGGTCTCTCAGGCTACATCCACTTGTCGCATACAAATATGGTTCCGCTGACCCCGGGGCAACTAACACATCTGAAGTCTGTGAGACTTGGAGAACACTGCATGAGAAGTTGCTACATGATATATTGGATTGAGACTTTAGCAAGGGTTGAGGTTAGACACTGAGTAACTTCCTGTCAGCCGCAGTAATTAATTGCCGCCTCAGGATATAGTGTAATTACCTCCTAAGTAGAGATAGCTGTTTGTCATGAATGATTAGGTGAAGCCTTACATGAAAGTGGAAGCCTGGAGATGATGATTTTTTTTTCGAATTAAGCAAAAAACTGAGGGGAAAAAACAACAACCACCTCCCCCCCCAAATAACAAAACAAAACCTAAACTAAACCAACCAACCAACCAAACAAAAAACCCGAAACAAATAAGGTCATCCTTACAACCCCATCCTGTGTGTCAAACAACAGAGATGTCTTTTTGCTCGTTTCTGAGCTTCTACCTTACAATGCAAGCGCTCTGTTTTGTGTTGCTTGCATGGGCAGTGCAATTAGAACCGCTGTAAATTAGGGGTCTGCTGCTTGGAACAGTTATTGCACTTGAGCTCCTGATTGTTGGCAGAGAAGAGCCACCTGGAAGAGCTGGTGTGGGACACACGCACCTGTCTGCAGAGAGCATTCTGGTCTCTGTCCACAATCAGAGGAGCCTTCTTCCTGTTCCAGCTAAACACAGGCCGGTAAGTCGAGAGTCTCTGCATCCAGTAGCTGATTTGCTGAGCGATTTAAGGCAGAAACTTTACTGGGAATGAAAAGACTGATGGCTGTGGCTGACTGCTATCCCTCTACCTGCCTAGGCTGGCCCCGCCGTGAGCACGCTCCCCAGGCTGGGTAAGCTGAAGCCCTTGCTAGCTGGTCTGCTCTGGTTACACCAGCATGAGCAAGTGAGGATGCTGAGGGCCACAGGGATGGACAAAAACCTCATTGTGCAGTGGAGGAAAACGAGGCACGAGAGAGCTTGAGTAGTTCACCATGACCTCAACACACAGGGATGGGGAGATGAAGGGTTCCTCTGTCTTCCCTTTTTATTTTATTTTACTTTTTCTTAGAGAAGATCTCATGCGGTCTAGTCTGGCTTTAAATTTGCTAAGCATTAGAGTATGACCTTGGACTTCTGACCCCTTTGTCTCCACCTCCTAAATGCTGGGATTATAGGTGTGAGTCACCACCTGGAGTGCTAGGAATTCACCCAGCTCCATCCTCAACCTCAGGATTCTTATTAAACTCCTCTCTCTCTCTCTCTCTCTCTCTCTCTCTCTCTCTCTCTCTCTCTCTCTCTCTCTCTCTCTCTCTCTCTCTGTCTCTGTGAGCGTATGTTTGGAGGCTGTCCTGGAACTTGCTCTGTGTGTGTGTGTGTGTGTGTGTGTGTGTGTGTGTGTGTGTGTGTGTGTGTGTGTGTTTTGAGAGTTTCTCTGTGAACCTCTGGCTGTCCTGGAACTTGCTCTGTAGACTAGACTGACCTCAAACTCACAGAGATCATCTGTGTCTGCCTTCCAGGTGCTGGGATTAAAGGCTTGTGCCAACACTGCCCGCCTGGATTCTTAAGAATTTTCAGGTAACAAATTACCCAAACTTTCATACTCAGCTAAACAGTGTCTACTTTTATAATGATACCAGGTTGGTTTAAAATGAGTTTGTTTGAAAGAACCTGTCTGATGTATACATTGTTTTCTGGGAAAAAATCACCAAAGAGGCAAAGAAAGAGTATTTTCTGAACCAAGAAAAATTTATAAAACAGAGACATAGCTGGAAATTTCCTCATGGGTTAAATGTTCTTTAGTAAATTTGCTGTGTGTGGAAAGTAGAGGCTTCATTGCTTTTATTTTGATGACAAAGGCAAAGATCATTTGGTAATAATTAATGCTAATCCCTCCCAGGACTGGCTCCTTTTGCATGGGATAGAAACAAAACAACACAGGAACATTAACTTGCTTCCCTGGAGCAACCACACAGCATCCGAGAGCGTCAGAGGCATCTTGCATCAAAGCCCTTTTAAAACTTTCGATGTATTCCACACTGCCTTGGCCTCTTAGCCAGTGTTTCTATTGGGCATAGACAGTGTGTGTGTGAGTCTCTCACTGTCCCTTACTCGGCGTCTCTCTAGACAAGGGAGGAAAAGGAGTACGTGAGGTCAGGGTGTAAAAGGAGTGTGGCAGCTTAGAAGTATTTTGAAGAGTTACCTGTTTAGTTCAACCCCCAAAGCATTATTTCCCCACTCAGACTTGTACAGAATTGTCCAGGGAAATGAAACTTTATTTTTATATTTACTATCCCCACTGCTGGGCAAACCTTCTTCAATCATCAAGGTGCCAACCAAGTTCCTTTACCCTCTAGACTTCCAGTCTTCCTCTTTGTGGTGCAAGGCCCTATACAATGACACGTGTGTTGGACACACTGGTAGATAAAGACCATGCCAAAATGAACAGAACCCAACCTTTGCTCATCCTGCTGGGGACCCCACAGGCGAAGGCGGGGTAGCAGTATTCGTACAAATAATTCGATGAACACAACGTGGTCATGGTGACTGGGATGAGGCTCAGTGGGCCCAGACTACTCTGGACCCCTGTGTGACCTTGTTCGGTATTCGGTACAATCACGTGTTGCCATATGGATTATGACACCTCAGGCACATGTGTGCATTCTTCCCCCTTTTCTGGTCCACTGTGGCTGTGTGGCCGTATTGTCCAGCTCGGTGCCACACACACAGGTGACAGGCAATGAATGCAAACAGAATGCATAAGTGACTTCCCCCACGAGGGTTACTGATTTGCTTTCAGTATAATAAATGATATACTGACTTCCCTAGCGAGCCTTTCTTGTTAGAATAGCGTAGTAGCTGAAAACAGTTTATACTGATTGCGGCAGGAGAAGAGAAGATGAACTCCTAGGGCTTCTGTCCGAAATGTAAATCCGACGTGCTACCATTCCTAGCTGACAAGTGGGCTTGGCAACTACAGACTGGAAATGGCATTGTCATCCCAACTCCAGATTTTTAGAGAGAACTAAACTTCAGTCTGCTTGAGATGAGCCTCTTTCTTTCGGGTCTAGTCTCATTCCATGGAAACAGAGTGTGGGTCTACAATTCATTTACTCAAAGAGGAACAAAAAGAAACTTTTATGGTTTTATAGCAACCATGGGCTCAAAGATTATTATGGGCCACAACCTGAAGACGGTTTCGTGGGTTACTAAAAGGTTCTTGTCCAATACCTGTCTCACTGCAGTTCTTCTTAGCAAGTTAACTCCTTCATTAACCATTACTGGACAGTAAAGGGGCCAGGGAGCTGACTTAATTGTGCAAGCATTTGTGTGAGCACGCGGAGCTGGGTTTGATCCCCAGTGTGCTCGGTAGGTCTCGTGTAATGCTATACTCCTGCAGGCCCAGCACTTGAGAGGCAGAGACAGACAGACCCCAGGGCGTGTTGGCCAACCTAGGCTATTGAGTAAGCCCGAGACCCCAAAGACCCCAGTGTCTCAAAAACAAGTTGAACAGTCTCTGAGGAATGACACCTGAGGATTCCACAGACACCTGCACCCACCCGCTTCCCCATGAACACACATCTAACAAGGGAGGGGGGATTTTTGTCTGGAGAGTAGGAAGCTCCTGGTCATCTGGCTTAAGACACATACTCCCCTCCACATCAGGTGGTCTGAGCACTGATTTACTTAGTCCTGTAATCAAGGACAGATGGGTCTGGACCTCCTCAGACCCATTATAGCAATGATGTGGGGCTAATATGTCTCTATTAGACTACTCAGAGTTCCGTTCTTACTCAAGAATGGGGTCAGCTGCCCAAAAGACAAACACTTGTCAAAAGGGGGCTGGGTGGGGCAATGGATATCACCAGGGAAGGCAGGGTTTTGCTGGAGCCCACATCTATTGAATCAGTGGCCAGAGAGAAGTAAACCCTGCTTGTGGGGATGGGGGTAGCAGGCCTGTGTGGGCTGGGAAGGTCAGTGGGTGTTAGCAGAGATTTCCTGTTGCTGGTTTCCTTAACTTTCTGGGACATCTGTGTCCCTGCTGGTGTCTGATTGTGTACCTATCAATGTTGTTTAAAATGGCGCCAGGAAAATTAAAAGCCTGCCCAGTAAGTGGTTTTACTTACATCATGTTTGTTGTGGAAGTTTGGTGCATTGGGGGGTCTTATAGAAACAACCTCTGGTTTCTTTAGAACAAACTGAGAGTGTACACATGCGCGTGCAAACACACACACACACACGTGCGCAACCTCAGAACACCAATTTTGAGACCTTTTATAAAAAAAAAATTTGTTGACATTCAATATATGAAGAGGTTTCCCTCCAACCCATCATGGGAAGTGGGTTCCTGGGTCAATAGATTCAGGGTAGCACATCTTATCTCTTTAATGCGATCTTTCCACTCCAGCCCTTCCCATTGATGAAATCCCTCCTGCACTTCACAGGGGCACAATGCCGCCTACACAAAGGCCCTGAAAGGATTCTGCAGGAGCTTGCTTTGACGTAGACTTATTTCTTTCCAAGTGGCGGCCGTCTCCTGAACACAGCCTTTGCTGTCATCTCCCTGGTTGCATGGAAAGCGGCTTGTGGGAAGGGTCTAGAGACTGGTAAATAAATAACTGCCGACTTCCTGTCTGAGAGGCATCCATCCAGAGTACTTGACAGTCTTTAAAGATTCAACAAGTGATGTCTCATCTTGCTTCTGTGCGGGACTGACTTATACAGTGAGTGGGCTCGGAGGCTTCTCTCTTAATAACTCTTCCAAATGACTGGGTTGTGACAGCATGAAGGCCCGCTCACACAAAGAAGCATATTTCACATTCTTAGAGGTGGAAGGCGAAACTCCTATCATGTAATTTGGTGAAGAATTCTTTCAGGAGGAGGACATAGTTCCATTTGTAGTGCACTTCCTAGCAAATAGCACTCTGTGACACTGTATAAACTGTGCACGTCGATGCATGCCTGTAATCCCAGCACTTGGGAGGTAGAAGCAGGAGGACCAAAAGTTTAAGGTCATCGTCTGTTACCACAGCGAGTTCAAGACTTACCTGGCCTACCTAGGACTCTGTCTTAAAACAAACAAGCAAAACAAAACCCTGAAATTCTATAGGGATTATGACAGTGTAGCAGCGGAATAGATCATCTATGTAGGTAGCTATAGGAATGGTTACGGCAGCCTGTCTGAGCATGGGCCTGCCATTTTAACAGATACTGGGAAAGAACTGGAAAACAATAGCTTGGTTGACATCAAACTCCTGGGCTTTCTGTGAGTGCCAGACAATTAGCATTAAGGCTTTGCAAAGAAGAACTTGTGTCAGGGGCAGTTCTATCTTCTTCCTGAAGAGTGTGGCAGGCGGTGTGACTTGGGAGAGAGCAGGCATCCTGTGCCAGCTCCCGTTTCTACAGAGGGAAAGGAGAAAATTGCTTTCTTTGTGGAAGCGCAAGCCCACTTGACAAAGGACTTCCTGGAGGGTGTCGGGAGTTGTTGCCTCCCTCAGAAGCAGCTCCTTTCTTCACCATTCTTCCAGGCCACTTCCTGAGGGGGAGGAGGGGGACAGAGTACATTCATTTTTGCGGGTGTTTCGCCCCACCGGCTTCTTCTTGTTTTTTTGTTTTTAAATTTTCTCTTTACAAAACGAATCCACAAAGCAAGCACGAAAGTATCAAGCCCCACTTCTCTGCTTCTCCGTCCAGCCCACAGGTGAGTGGGCCAGAGGCTGGAGCAGTAGGTTCATGTCCGTGTCACGGATGCCTCCTATGTGATCTTCACTTCTGGCTGAGGGAACCAGCTGGCAGGGTCCTCGGCTCCAGGGGAATGTGAAGCAGAGAGGAAGGCCAGCAGCCACACTGCTGCCACAGTTCCAGGAGTGGGTCACCACACCCTAGAGGCTATCGGCGATGTGAAAAGTGGCAGGGGACAAAACTGCGCTCAATTCCAGGCATCCGGATGGAGGGTTTTCTGATGGAAGGTCTGCCAGTGTGAGAAAGGCGCTCTCCTTGGTGCTGAGTTCTCATCCAGCCAAGGGACCACAGGGTCTCCCGCGGCACCAGAAGAGGGGTTGGCTACCTTTGCTAGGTGCTGACCTGGGGTCCCTGTTTGGTCTGAAAGAGAGAGTGCACTGGCCAACTGGGTTTGGGGCACCATGGGGTCAGCCTCCAGCTTGTGAAAGGAGAGTTAGATGCGTAAGACCCAGTAAAATAATACCGTGAAGCTGGGGGTTCTTGAGAGACAGGAGGATTGCCGCAAGTGCAAGGCCAGCGTGGCTAACTTAGTGGGGTTGGGGCCAGCCTGGGTTACAAGGTGAGACCTTGCCTTCCAATCAAAACTAAAAGCAACAAAACAGCAGTGAATTCAGACGTGTGTAAAGCAGCATTGACATATATTTTCCTATAATTTAGGAATTACTTCAACTACTTAAGAGTGACACAAAAACCTTGAAAACCATTTATTTGCATCCCGCTGCCCAGTCCCTCTGATGACATCTTTCACAGAGCTTATTTCTAGGGTGTAAATCAAATCTCCCAGCAGACTTCATTCTCATTTTTCTGTGCTGTGTCATTCAATTAAATTGGTATGACAGTCAGGAAGGTGTGCTTGCTGCAGATCGCAAGCTTGAAGGAAGGCTGAGCTGGGCCACCTGCATGCCCAGCTCATGCTGAGAAGGGCAGCCAGGCTTGTGAATGTGGTCTTCGCACCTCAGTCTCTGCCAGGAAAAGTAACCCCCTCCCCACCCTCATAAAACCCAGGGACACACTCTTTCAGGAGGGTGGGAGGGTCTACCTACTGCAATTACTTGCCGGGCTGCCTTTGCCTAGCTGTGATTCTCCTTCTCTTTTTACAACTTAGGATTGTCAGAACCGTTGGATATAGCGTGTTGCTGCTGTGGGGTTATGCCGCCACGCATGTGTTGTGGAATGATCAAGTCAGAGTTGCTACCTTTTGCATCTCCTGAGACTGACCATTTCCTTGTGTTCAGAGCCTACAAACCCTTCCTCTCTTTTAGCTTGCTACAAAACAGGGGATCACTTGTGAACTGCAGTCATTTTAGTGTGCTGTAGAACACTGCTCATGCCATTGTCATTATCATTAGTGTATGTGCAGTGTGTGTGTGTGTGTGTGTGTGTGTGTGTATTACACTTGCACCAAGGTGTGCGAGCGGAGGTCTTAGAGCAACTTCCAGGATTTGGCTTTCACCCCTTCTGCTGTAGGTTCTGAGGTTAGCACCCAAGTCATCCACAGACAAAGAGCTCCTATCCACTGAGCTATCCATCTCGCAGGCCCCGTTGCCTGTATTTTTAACAGGTAACACAGTAAGTTCTTTAGTCTATATGTCAGACATTGAATTAAGGAAAATTGTAGCTCATCCTCCCAGACAGTAGTCTTCTATGTTACAAAAGAATAAAATATTCTAGTTGCATGCTTAGAAACCTATGCTAGAGAAGGCTTTAAACTGTCTCCTCTCTCCCCCTGTTCCTCGATACCCAAACAAACACTTTTAATGGTTAATAATAATCCAGATAATATTTTATACTTCTATGAGCACTGGTTTTATTTTTTACTTTTTTCACTTAATTCTATGTCAACATTACAGATAGGACTTGATGAGTTCCCCGGGGCAACAGTGTAAACTAGATCAGCCTGTTTAGGGTACCCAAAGTGCATGCAGGGGCGGGAGATTTAACATATTAAATCACATTTATTATTCGTGGAAAGATGTTTGAAGTGGATTGATATCATATTCAGAACTTGAAGAGATTCTGATTTTCTAACCACTGACAAGGGACCCAAAGTCAGAAATTCCCTCTAAGTTTGGGATCCAGAGTGAGTAAGTGCTCTCCCCAGGTGAAGAACAAAAAGTTAAAGGTTTAAAAAAAATTAAACAAAGAAATACTACCTGGCACAATGTTCACACATATCATGCACACTATTTGGTCAGATGAAGACTCTGACACACGTGAAACATGGAAGAGCCTCAAAAATACTGATGCCAAGGGAAGCAGCAGGATGCAGTACGTGGCCCCATTGGTTAATTCATAGAGACAGAAAGGAGGCCGGAAGTGGTCAGGGGCTGGAGGGGTGAGGAGCGTGGTCAGGTGGACTTCCATCTGGGATGGCGGAGATATAAGAGAGTCGCTGTGTGGGGGCGACTCTGTGAATGTCTTCAGTGCTGTCGGCTTGAGCATTTACATGATTAGGTAGAAATGTCTGCCATGCATATTTACCACGATAACAATCAAGAATGCAAGAGCAAAGATCCCTGCTTTGGTGTCTGCACTCCGGGTCGAGGTGAGAAATAGAGAAGTGAAATGCCTGAGCCGGGATGAGCATCAGGACCAGGAGGTCATTTCCCTGGGCAATGTGAGGGTAACATAAATAGGCTGACACAGAGGACCCACTGATGGAGGAGACGGCTGAGATACACAGGGAAGAGGGCTCAGCTCCCCCGGGTTGGTGTCCAGGAGAGCAGAAGAAAGGTCAGGGGTTCCTACCAACAGAAGGCAGAGGACTTGGGACAAGGGACTGGAAATAGGAAGCGATGGGATCGACTGCAGCTGCCTGTGTCCCCAGGGGTCACCAAGGACCCCTGAGCTGGAGAGAAGAGAGAGCCTAGCACTCAGAATGCTGGCATAGGGGGAGGACTCAGACCCACATTTTGTGATCATTTCCAGTTGGCTGAGCTCAAGTTAGAGGAGTGTGACCTTTCCTCTTGCTGTGTAGAAGGGATTTGCTAAAATAGGACAATAAAGCCAAATATTTACAGTTCCTTTGTGATGCTCATGATATCTGACATAGTGTTTTATGAGATATACATCCACCTAAGAAAACATTCTGCTCCCCACAACTCATCTTCTCTTATGAAAAGTTAGAATATGCTTTTCATTTAATAGACTCTTCAATAAGGAGTAACTCACCACGCACAATCAGAAAAACACACCTTATCTTCCCTAATTGATTGTAATCCCATAAAGTATGTCGATAGCAGTTTTAGAATTAAAAGGCTTTTTACTATACAAATATTCTCTCAGAAATGCAATCGAGCCCTGAGCCAGGACCAGAGGCAGGTTCTCATGACTACTGTAACTCTATCACCTGTTAAAACAGGTTCTCTCTGCAGCAGATAGATGCTATTACAGAGACCCACAACTTGCCAAAGTGCAGAGAATACGTGTCTAAGGAGTGCCCAGCCCCAAATAGGACACCTATAATATTATCCCTACACCCAAGATTCAGGGAACATGATGGACAGAGGGATGGTGGAAAATGTGAGGGTCAGAGGACCAGGGTGGCAGATGCAAGTTATCTTCTGGGCATGACTGAGATGGTATACCCGAGAACTCTTAACAGCTGTAGTTGCCTGCACAAGGTCACAGAGATTAACAGTCCAGCATGGATGCAGGGAAAGGCTCTCAAGCCCCCATCTCTAGTAGAGGAGTCTCAGGCTGTCAACGACTTCCAAGGAAGGGTCAGCTCTCTTCAGTGACAAGTCCCCCAAATAGATTGAGCACGCCCAAGTGGTCACCCCTACATCCATATAATTAGATTTGATAGGCATACGTATACACACACACACACACACACACACACGCAACAATAAAATCATAGGAGAACATCAACTAG